CCGGTCTCTAGACGCAGACTTCAAAGCCTGGTGAACTAGCTTCTCACTACACAAATTGTATTGAGCCTTGGGGCCTTTAGGAGGGCAGTCTGCTGCTTGCATTTGTCTCTAGTTCTCCCAGAGGAACAAAACCAGTTTTAAGAAGAACCTGGCTTGAGAAGCTGAGAATGTGAGGCTGAACCTAGTTTCACAGAAACCAGCCTGACGGATGGCCTCGGGCTTTTTATCACAGATCTTCTGCTGTAGAAAGTTTCTGTCCTAGCTTCCGCATCCACCGTGCTGTGGCCTTTGCTGCTCCCCTTGACTTGGATGGTAGTCACAGCTTTTTGTACCTCAGAAGCCTGTTTGCTTGTTCTAAGCTTGGGACTGTCAGCGTGAACTTGTGATGGGAGGTGACTCGAAAGGGGATGTCCTCGCTTGCAGTAATCGCTTGGTGTCTCCCCTCAGGGTTAGGGAAGAATTCTGAGGGCCGAGTGGAGCCAGTGCAGGCCGTGGTCCTTCCTCGAGGGAAGTCCCTTGACCAGTGTGCTGAGGTGCTTCAGAAGAAGAAACAGGGAAAGCTGGACCCAGGCACATCGAGGAAATGCCGAGCAAAGGGAAACAGCTCTGGACAGTCCCCTGCGGGCAGCCGTAAGCCTCCCCGCAACGTGTTTGACTTTTTGAATGAGAAACTGCGAGGGAAGAGCACTGGGGAGAAGGCTGGAGGGATGGCACTGCCAGAGAGGAACAGCAAAGAGATCTACCATGCTAGCAAGAGCACCAAGAAGGCCCTGAGTGTCCGCCTCTTCCAGACAATGGAGAAGATTGAACAGACACAGAAGGATATCAGAGGAATCCAGCAGGCCCTGGCACGCAACATTGGACGGTAGGAAAACATTCTCTTTGGGACTGCAGGATGAGCTGAGAAAGGTGTGGGAGGAACAAGTGAAACATATCTAGATGAGACTGAAGGGGAAGTAGAGGAGAGAGACTTTAGCGTGTGCTTCAGACCAGCTTGGACACTGGCAGGTGTGTCTGGGGTCCTTTAGCTGGAATTCAGGCTGTGGTGAAGACAGGAGCTCTCTGAGGAAAGGTGCTGGAGTCCTTTCCTTCTCGTGCCCACCTCTGGCGGCTTTGCTGCTGAGCATCACAGGAGGACAGTTTCTAGCCCAGGTTGTACTGAGCATCAGGTTCTTCCTGGCTTTCAGCAGGTCACTTGTCCTAATGCCACAGGAAAAGGCAGACCCCCCGGGATGATGACAAGCCTTTGATCTTATCATGCAGGATGACGTTACTGTAATGCTTTTTGCTTTCAGGCACAGCATTGCTACAGCTCAGCTGGAGGAGAAGCTGGCTAATGCGCACAAACAGCTGGGGCAGCTGCAGGCCCAGGAAGCCAGTCTGCAGCGGGAGCAGAAGAAAGCAGACACGCATAAGAAGATGACTGAGTTCTAGTCTCCCAGGAAGGCGTTTGACTGCAGTGATTGTCCTTCTAGCCAGCCCCACTGCTTGTGGCCCCAGAGCCTGGGCGAGCCATCCTGCTCCTCTGGGCCTTGGGCTGCCCAGCCTGAAAATTGGGCTGAAAAGCAGCAGTTTCTAAAACTAGATGCTTCTGAGCTCTCCTGGGAGGGGCAGGAGTAAACATCCATCCAGCTCTGAAAGCATTCAGTAAGCCTGAGCCTTGTGTAAGGACTAGCTACGAAAAATACGATTCTCTGCTCTCTTGCACACTTTTTTTCTCTGCTATCACTGAGGTAGCGCCTCCATCCAGAGTCTGTAGCTACTCAGGTGATAACGCTGCTGGCTCCAAACCAGCTGAGGAGGGGCTTTGAAAGCCCCACATCCTGCCGTCAACTGTGGCTTGTGTTTGCAGCCAACTGACAAACCCAAGTGGTGGCAGGGTCCCAAGCACATTCCGGCAAAGCAGAAAAGGCATGTGCTGGGTGAGAACAACAAAGGCAAACTCTTTCAGCTGCTCTCTACCTTCTGTTTTTTGCTATGGAATTTATCTGAGAACTCTGGGTTTTTTGGGAGCAGTTCCTTGTAGCCCTAGTGTAATGAATAGACAGAAAACTGGCAGCTTGGAGGGGGGTACTAGTGGCCTCGAGCATCAAATTTCATCACTTTGTAAGAGTATCCCTAGGACGTGCTATAACCCACCTCATGGACTTGGCGTGGAAAGGTGCGTGGCTCCACAAGTAGATTGCCAAAGCTGGGGGAATAAGACACCAGAGTAGCAGATTCTCAAACCTCCTAGCTAGGAGCAACTCCACAGGGAACCCGATGATTTTTGCCATCATTACTTGAGTTTTTCTGTCCTAGGTGGCTCGCTGAATGCACGTCCTTTTATTATAAAACCTCCAGATCCAGGTCGGACTGCGCCCCGGATGAGCACAAAGATCGGGAGGTCAGTATGTACCCGGCTTGCAGCCCTGACTGTGGGAGAGCTTCAGGCTGTGCTGCAAGCGGGCCAAGCAAGCCGAGTGTCCTTCCTTCCCTGCAGCGTGGAGAGTCTTTGGACAGGAAGGATGGCTTCCCCCCTAGGTTATATTCTGCATTGGTGGCAGCCGGTCCTTGCCCCAGAGGAGATGGTGGTTTCATCAGACTCTGTTTCTGGTGGGACTTGTGCATTGTAATTGCCTTTTTTTTTTTTTTTTTTTAAAGTTTGCAATTTCATGCCAGTATCTTAAGGACACATTTTTTTCTTAATTTAAGAAATCGATTTCCTTTTATTCTGGGAGTCATTTTTCTAATGAAAAGTTTTGCTCCTTTAGAACCACCTTTTTTTATCTGTTCCCAAGAAAACTTACAGAGCTATCAGCCTGGGCAGGGCTGCACCTACTTGTAGGGTCGGGCTGCCAAACTTAACCAGAAAATCTAAGGCTGAAGGAGATACGATCAGAGTTGTTCAAGTCATGTGGGATTTAGCATTGCTGCAGACACACCTCAGAAAAAACAGAGCAACAGCAAAAGTAAACAAGATGAATGTCTTCAGGAAACCTGTTAGAGTGACTTTCTCCTCCTGGAAAGCACTTGGGTCCTGCTGTGCTGAGCACCGTGTGGATGTGGAAGGTGGTGAGGGCTGCCTTGAGCACTTCAGCATCCCTCGGTTTCTAACTCAATTGGCTGTACTACCTTCATTGGTCTGAATTCATGTTCTCCATGCACTGGGCTTAACTCAAGGGTTTAACAATGGTTGCTCAGTGCCCTTCCCTCACAAATAACTGACTGTTTCCCGCACTCGAGTGTTGAGTGGTGACAAGGATTAATGTGCCCAGTTTAGCTTGGGTGCTCGCTGAAGTGGCCCATGACTTGTGAGCTGAGCTGGGCAGCAAAATTTCTCAGGTTTGTTTTGTGCTCTGTCACTATTTAACATCATCATCTCTTTAAGAATTGGGTGTATTAGTCCTGCTTCTCAACTAAGTCGTATTTTTGGCCCGTCCTTGGGATTTCCACAGCGTCACGTGCCGGATTCCTATTCGAATGGCTGCTACCTCCCACCCAGGTTCATGTCTCTGGTGAATAAAGTTGTTTTTTATTTTTTCCCTCTGTCCTTGTAAGGCGTTGTTCATTTGCAAGGTAACGATGAGCTGTGGCAACCCATTCTTTCCTTATATTCCCCCGCGGATAGAGAGCTGGCACTAAAACCAGCTTGGTGGGAAGCGGAGCGTGGCAGAGGGTGCTCTTGTGTGCCGGGTGCCTGCAGAGCCTGTCTGCAGCGCTGCTCGCAGCCAAGGCGGGGAGAAACCCAGCCTACCATTGGGTGAAGCAACCACCTCTGCGGGCCAGGAAGCGAGCTGTGGTGTGCTGCATGGTAGCTGCTCAGAGCTGTCTGCTCTAGAAGGAGCTAAAGAGGAGTGGGAAAGCTCAGATCAAGATGTTTGAAATGTTTGGGAACCTCTAATTAGGAATAAGTCTGTGAGATAGAAGAAACAAAATTCTCCAGGTTGGTTGGCAAGGAAGAGAACATGATGGGACTCCTGCTCTTCACACTCACCGGCTTTTGAGTTTCTGCAAAGTAAGTGGTGTTTGCTTTCTTGCCTGCCAAACTTGGGTAGCTGCAACTAAACCAGGCGTTGAAAATTACTTTAAAAACCCCTGATCTCTGTAGAAATTGTAGTGGTGTTGGAGATGCTGCTGCAGTTAGCTAGACTGGGCAGGCGGGATTCGTACACTGCTGTGGGGAGGCATCGGCTGGGTTAAACTTTCAGTTGGCTGCGAAAAGGGCCGCTTAATGCTTTGTGCTCTGGAAGCATCTGGGCTTAAAACGGAAGAAAAGGTGTTTGAGCTTGGCTACGCGGCTGGGGGTCTCGTGGCTTGAATCTAGGGGTTGAGTGGGACCCAACTACTTTTGTGGTGAATGAATTGTTGAGTTCAGAGGTGTGGAGTGTTGCTGCTTTCAACAAAAAAATTTCCAGTTGTGGGGAGGGAGAGTAGATTTTTTGTTTGCATGTGGAACAGTTCTTGGGGAACTGCTGAGCTCCTGGCTGCAGGTGAGGAGACTTGAGAGTGTGGTGATTGAAACGCTGTCCTCTGTAAACCTGAAATTATGTAAAACTACTGAATTTGTGGCAAGAAAACCACTGTGGTAGGCAGGTGATTCTCGAGAAAACATGTATCTCCTTCATACGTCCATCCTGTATTTTGGAATCTGGATTCCCATAACTGCAGCACTGAGGTCTCCACTGGTGCCGTGCTGCAGCTCAGCTCTGCAGAAACTCTCGAGCAAGTTCTCGACTTCTGTTCAGACGTGCATTTCTCTGGCCGAGTCAGTGCATTCCCAGCCATCACAGAAGGGCGGGAAGAAAGAAAAATGCCGAAATGATGTCAGCCTTGACCAAAGCCACACGGTGTGAACAGGCGGGTCACTTACCTTAAGAGTATATTTTCACAAAAGCCACTCCAGCACATGAGCAGCGATCAGGACTGTAATGAGAAGTGCGAATCTAAATTTTGTGACATTTGGGTCTGGTGTTTAGAGATGTAGTTGGTCCTTTCTAAATGAAATGCCTCCAGAAGAGTTTGCCCATGAAATCTCTCCCTTCTGCTGCAGAAATGTGAGTGGAATGGGTGAGATCTTGTGCCTGCTCCATGTTTAAAATAGTCTTAAAATTTACTAATTGCATTCTATAATCTAGGACAGATTCAAAGTTGTTGACTACCTATTATGGGCCTTTCACTTTTTATAAAAATGAAAAGGAAAAGAAAAAAAAAGATCTACTTCTGCTTCTTGGGACTTTTTTTCAGTACAACTCCCCAGGGTACCCGAGCTGCGTCTGCTGCAGCCGTGTTATCAGTTGCTGATGGAAATCAGTCTGTCATGTTTGTCCTGGTTTCTTGCAAATACGCTTTTAGTAGTTTCATAGACTTTCTTCTCATCACCTTGTGCTGAACACGGTGTGGTTTTATCTGGGTAGATGAATCAGAGGCCGGGCATCATCAGCAGCACTTAATTTTTCAGTAAATTCAAACTTGTTTTTGTAAAGCCCAGCTGAGGAACTTGTGCCTTTTGTAGGAATCACAAATCCCACATCGTGGAGTAACAAACCAACTGCATTTAACGTGCCTGTGCTCAGGTATCACAAAAGGGAGTTACTCCCTCCTCGGTGGCCTGTGGGTGCGTGTCGCACGTACGCCATGGTTGCGACTGCTCCATCTTCAAAGCCGTCTTGGCTTGTAGAGCCAGCGCGTTACGAAATGCTGTCTGCTGAGTCTCCTGCCCCGGAGAATAGCTCCAGGATTGGGAGATCGATAACTTTATTGGCAGGAAATTCAGGTGTACATGTCAGAAGGTCTCTTTGAGACTCTGCCTTGCAAACAGCTCGGTCCTGCCTGAGCCACTTCAGTCAGGCACTGGGTTTTCCTCTCAAATTTGTAATTCTGGGAGAACCAACATGTTGTCCCAGAAGTGGCTTCTCCCAGTGACTGCTGAGCCTGAAAGAGCGTGCGCTGGGCGTTTCTTTAGGTCAGAAATCCAGGAGCAACTACCGGCCTCCTGCACAAGACAAAGTAGGTCAGAAGAACTTCTCTATATTCAATTTCAACGTAGGAAGCTGCTCCCTTCGTTCTTCAATCTTAAAAATTCAGGGATGGAAGATCCACGCACTTCCCTGTGTGTGCCTGCCTCAGGGGGCCAAAAGCTCGCACTTTGATTCTGACATACCACCGGCTCCCAGCCATCGTACCTTGGTACAATTTCATCTGCTAAACCTCAGAGCCTGCTCAGTTCTGCCCTGATCAGTCACTTCTGCCGCCTGCGATCCTGTCGCTCTAATGAGCTGAACAAGTTCAGCGAGGACTGTCTAAAGCGACTGCCCGCGTTGCAGGTAATCCGTGTAATTAACGTATGCTCAGACAGAAAAGCAGTGTTGTCTAATTAAAACATTGGAGAGGGAACAGCCTTCCCTTCCCAGCTCTGATCTAAGCCAGTCTGTCCAGCCTGGTTAGTCCCTAAAACCTCTCTGTCTCGCTTTCCACGTTGAAATAATTGCTCTCCAGGGGTTAAGGCTTCAGTCAGGGAAGTTTCCAAAGGCGTGGGAAGTACTCGGATAAAAAGGTGCTACGAGTGGGCAGAGACGTGCTGGCTCTTGGGGTAAAGATGCACCAG